ATAGTTTTGTCAGAGAAAAATCTGTTAGTATAGAAGGTATGTACTTTGTAACCAACAACGCTGGAAGAAGCTGATTCTGTCACCCCAGTCTATATTCCCATCACCCTATGCCTTATTCACTAGGTGACCTGAAAGTGGGAGTTAATGGAACTGTCAACTTCATATCAGATGTGCCACAGACACATGGAAGGAGGTGCATTGTGAACACCCCATGTCATTCCTTGGGTTTATAAGTTAATATAGTGTGGGAAAATAGTAAAGAATATATACGCTATTTAATAAGCATTGAGAAAGACTCATTAAGATGGGTGGGGTCTAATCAATGTTACAAACTGGGAAGGGGATTTGATTTTTTGTAACAGTGTAACAAACTGGATTTTTTTTTAAATCGATTCCCAGTTTTTTATACTGTTACCAGTACCTGAAGTACTAAGAAGGTCTTTCTTTTATTGTATGTTGCAGTTTTTATTGTATGCAGTAGTTTGTTTTGTTTGTCGAGCTCAGATGCACAAGGCAGCCTTTGCGTTTCTGGGGCACGGAGAATTCACACGTAACTCACGAAAAGCCGTTGCATACTCTCAAATTTACTGTTTGATGTGACATATGCAGGGAAAAAGTAATTGACTCTTAATTTGAGGACGCCGTCAGCAGCCCATAACAGACCCCCCTTATGTCGTTAGACATCCCTGCGCCGTCCAAGCCAGCCTCTCGCTGTGCTCCAGTCCTTGCCAAAAAGCAAGTCCCGCCCCCTGTCTTCCTCAGAGACAAGGCGAATTTCACCCGTCTCTCCAAGATCTGCTATGACGCAGGCATGAAATATGATCAGGCCACCAACATGGGTGAGGCTATTAAGTTTTTCTTACCTCAGTCGATAGACGACTTTCGCCGCCTTACAAGGCTATTCACTTCTGAACGTGTGTCCTACCACACGTACGCTCTTCCGGAAGAGCGTAAAGTCAGGGCCGTAACCGTATAAATAAAGGAAACACTTTTCTTTATGTTTGGACAGAAGACCATTTTCCGAAAGACTAACTTGATAGCCTTAGCCATATACCATCGTTTAAATTCAACATCGTTTCCGAATTAAATTGATAGTCAAAGATTAATGGCTGATGGCTGCGCTGGTCAAAACAAAAACACTACCGTAGTAGGAATGCGCCTCAATTGGCTATCAGAAGCCCCACAACATATAAAGAACATTGAAATTATATTTCCCATGGTAGGCCACTCTTTTCTTCCTGCAGACCGCGTTTTTGGAAGAATAGAAAAGGAGTTTCGCAATAGAGACACGATATTAGAAATGAGTGGTTACACCAATATTATAAGAGAATATTCAAGTCTCATTTCGGTAGGAGTAGTGTCCAGTAAAAGATTGGACGAAAACTGTTAAAAATATTATAAAATCCGTTGGCAATTGGCATGCGGCTTTTTCGAAGTACATGCGTTTTGTATTGAAGCGATCAACACACAAAACTGGCAATACATTAGTAAGAGGTAAAATACATTACGTTGCAAATTTAGTTATATACAAAAATGTTTGCAAAAGTTGCAAAATAGCAAACATGATCGTTCCCAAGGATATTCAGTTCTCAATGGGAAAACTAAAATCTTCTAAAAATGTCGATAAGCTATTGACTTCACACTTTGACGTCAACTGGAGGAGTTACTCAGTTCTATCTTTTTATGATAAATTAATACCAAATACGGCACTCGACGGAGATTTGAAAATGAGAAATGAAAAACAAGAGTGTGCCTGACTTAATAGCTTAATTTTTTTAATGACCTATTTTGTGTCCCACAGCTAGACAAAGGCCTCATCTTTAAAATGTTGAAATACACAATACACCGATTTTCTGGGCTTCCGCCTCATCTTGTAAAAAATATGGTTGACAAGTCCCACGCAAATTTTTATTTACTATTAGTACCAGATGACATTTTTGGATGGATAGCAAATAACACCAATATGTTTACAATAAAAACAATAAGTAATAATAAGGAACCCACGAAGCATGCGAGAATTCGTGTAAGTGGTTGCCGACGACTACAAAAAACAATGAATCGTTTTTGTTTTGTTTTGATTATTTTTATGGGTCTAGCAAAATTACCAAAAATTGCTGAATATTGGTCTAGGAACTTATTGAACGGAACTTTTCAAAAACTATAATGATTCGTAATCGTAACACTTAGATTACATAAAGTTTAAAAATTACTAGACACCATGAATAGTAACTTCAAGAGATATTACACACGAATGAAGTCTTATGTATCGATGAAAGTTTATGCCATTTCGTGGACGTATCGTTTTTAGACAGTACAATAAACAGAAGAGACATTAATACGGCATGAAAGAGTTCAAATACATTGCCGGAATGCACCTACAAAATTAATATTAATAAGTTACAAAAATAACGACCAAATAAATACCACCCCTCTCGGGGTTTTTACACTTTTTACCGATAATTGGTACACGAGTGTAGATCTTGCGAGAAAACTTTTGGAAGCAGACACCCAATTAGTGAGTACTATCCGCAAAAACCTCATGCATCTTCCTAAGCACGTGTTATATATTATAGCTCGAGAAAGTAGTGATCGGATTACAGTGGTGAAATGACGGGACAAGAGAGAAGTATTACTATTGTCCACCAAACATTCAGTGCGGTTCCATAATATCAGAAAGCGAGGCAAATTAATTTAAAAACATAAAATAGTGTTTGACTTTAACAATGCTAAAGGAGCAATTGACTTTTCCGATCAAATAGTGGCTTATTCCATCCTTCACTTCTAAGAAAGTGTTAAGTGGTACAAAAAATTTTCCATAAGCCTTGTCTTAAATACAGCTGTGCTAAATATATTAATATTGTACCACACCATTCGGATAAGATGGTTCGGATAAAAGAATTGAGAAGAGTTATTAAAAAACTTGTGTGAAAGGAACGATAGTATTCCACCGTCTGTTCAGAAACCTCGATGGGCGACACTTGAGCGACAATAAGTTGGCGCGAAACCTAAGTTCTGTCAGAGAAAGACGAAGCTGTGTGAAATATTAGACAGAGAACGTCACCATAATGGGCAGAAATTTGGTTAAAAATAAAGACTTAAAAAGTCAACAACTATTATGAAGATTGCCAGAAAATCCTTTCTTTTGTATCCCATGTTTTACTGTAATTCATCGTTGATTTTTAAACATTTTATATTACTTTCATAGCTGTTTTTGATCGAAGTTCCTATTATTGTCTATACTTTAATTTTGCATTATTAAAAAATTATAAATTTGTAAGACCTCATTTGTTATAATAAGTAATAACAAACATTGATTTTTATAATATTTATTTGATTTAATATATCCCTAGCCTTAAAATTTTGTTAAATTTTTATATATCACCACATGTTTCCACGAGTTAAGACAAAAAACGTGTTCTCCTGGGCCACGCTGGTCACATAGTATATGAATTTTCTTTCGGAATGTGGCCGTCGTTAAAAACAATAGGTCCTCGCGGACACCGGTGACGCTGATGACCCGCCAGAGTTGTTTATGTCGGACACCGGTGCCCCCGTTACATCAATGAAACTGCATCGAAATCTTGATGGCGCTTAACGTGTTAAATATAGGCGGTAAATGCTCCCCACGCGTTCACTCACGTTTCAAGAAAAGGCGTCTTTTCTAGGGCTAACTGTTATTTAAATGAATTATAAAAAAAAATATTAGTGAGGCTGGCAACATTGAACACGCCACCAGTCGGGCGCAGAATTATCCTGCACGCACTCTAGCACAGCCGCGTCGGCCAAATATGCGATATGGGAAACCAAAGAGGTAACCACAGATAATCGAATGTCAATCAATTTTTTTTTTATTATATCATTATAAGTTTATATTAAGCATTTTCCACAAAATTTTGTGTAATTATTGTTTTATAAAATATTTTAATGTAAATGTGTTTGTACATAAAAATTTTCACTTAATTTAAATTTTGTTAGATCTTTTAGTGTTTCTTTTTATCAGTTATCTATTAAATACCTGATATTTATCACATTTAAAGTTTTGTCTTAATTAACAAAAGCATGAATTTTTTAAATATTTAAATAGAAAGAACACAGTACAGATTATTGTAAACTTTATTGTTACATTTATTATTAAATGATTTGCTCGCATTTTTTAATTAACAATATAAGAGTTATCAAAATAATATCCGAAATTCTAATTAAAGTCGAAGTTGTCTAAAAATGAGTTTTTATATTTATATTTATTCATTTGTAATGACTTCATGTCACTTGATTATAAAATTAATTGTATATAATTTTGTAATGAAAAATCGTTTTTATTGTTTTAATAATTTTTATTTCTAGTCACACAAAAATGCAATACATCTATTTAATATGTTTAACATGTCAGAACATGTTTTAAATGAGAGAATACAAACTTAATTTGATTTTTCCTACATCTACGGTGTTTTGTTAATAAAGAATTTATACATAATGGAATTTTTAAATTTAGGTGCTTCTCTGCATTTAGAATGCATGCAAACATGTTGAAAAATTATTTTATTTTTAGTATAAAGTCTATGTAACTGTTATGAATTTTAAATGTCAAATTGTATTTTGATCCTTCGAAATTAAGTATAGCTAGTTTTTAAAAACTTATCTTCTACACGTGTTTTACAAAGCACACTATTTTAAAATAAAATCACCGCCATTTTGTTTCTGTAAATAATGGTTTTATTAGTAGCTATTTTTCACAATTGTTTTAAGATTTATCAATTTGAATCTTGATGAAGTATTAAGTTTTTATTTATTTTACAGTAAGTTTTAATTAATAAAATTAGAAAAAAATATACTTGGTAGTATTATTTATTATTTAATTAAATTAGACACGCAGCTGTGGCGGCGAGTTTTTATAATCTGTACTGCTGGTTTTTTTTTTCTGTTATTTTGTCTTCTTTTTTGCTTGATTTTACTGAAGTTCTGGCGAGATTTTAGATCGTGCTTTGTTACTCACCGCGCGTCTACTGACCACGTTTCTTACCTCCGGTTCTGTGAAATAAAAATTATAATATATACATACATGTAAATTACAAAAATCAGTGAAAATTAAAAAAAATCTTAACGTCCATATTAAAACTTAACATTTGCCACTAAGATAAAATATCAAGCGGTACTTCGCTGCAATTCCTAATATATAGTGTGATTATATTTTATACAAACGTCGTACGGGCTAAGCGGAGTTCTTTTAAAAATTAAAGTCTCAACTGATTACAGATCGTATTTCATTTTTAAATCGTAAGTATGCCTACCTGCTGTACAGTCTACATCTGCATTTTTTATAGGAGAGGGGGGCAAACGAGCATGCGGCTCACCTGATGGTAAGTGACTACCGCAGCCCATGAACAACTACAACACCAGGAGAATCGCAGATGCGTTGCCGGTCTTTTAAAAAAGAGTAAGATCTTTTCTTGAAACTCCCTAAGTCGTACTGGTCCAGAATAATAGCCGGTGGCAAACTATTCCACAGGGAGATTGTACAAGAAAAAAACTCCTAGTAAAACGCATACTAGTGGACCGCCATGCATAAAGATTGTGTGGATGATATCGTATAAGTTTTGTCGCGATGTGGTTTCGTGAAATTTGGCGGCTAAAATTAATCGAAATAATTGCTCAGAGTACTCCCTGTGCTAAATACGTGGTAATGCGATGCATTAATAAAAAAACATAAGTTTATACATAATATTTTTTACACTTTTTTGCGTAATCTTCATTACAATATTAAAAGAACGTGAAAAGTATAGTTTTACGTAATTGAATAAAAAATATTACGTATGTACTTTGAAATGTACCGAGTCCTAAAATTAAGTAGGACAACTGACAAATATGACAAGCACAACACTTCAATTATTTAAACTGAAAAATTTTGTACAATCCATTTCAATATAAATTATTAAGAATAACTCAAAAACTATTCGTCAGACCTTGATCAAATTTATATGGGACCAGATGTGAAGCAACAGCTTTCAAGTAAAAAAATAGTCATCGAAATCAGTTCACCCAGTAAAAAGTTACGAGGTAACACACATAAAAGTAAAAACACGTCGAATTGAGTACCGGCTCCTTTTTGAAGTCGGTAGAAAAGACCAAATCATTCCATATTTTTATAGAAGATGAGGCAAACGACCAAATCTCAATATCTTTATATTTGAATAATTTACATACATGAGAATATTATGCAGCTTATAGTTATCTGTATTACGATTTTCATTGGATACAGTTCGCTGCTGAATATAATCCTCCCCGTGGGTTGCCTAATAGGGGCAATATTTGCCATAGTTGCCCCGCTTTGCAAGAAAGCAACCACAGTTTTTTTATTTTTTTATTATTGTATTATCAGTAAGAAGATGCTGTTGCCCATCTCCTGTTTCATTTCCCTCTGTTGCCTCTTATGACACCCACGGTATGATATCATGCGATAATGGATAATCTTATGCAACCACCACACAGCAATACGACATGGTATTACAACTGGACAATCTAAGGTGTAATCGGATAATTCCTTTCCGTTTCAAGGAATAAAGAAGAAGGGCAGAAAAATAGTTGACAAAAATTATTGCGTCTAGAAATAACTTATATATAAAATGAGTTTTATTATTTTCTATGATTTTTCAAATAAAAATGTATTTTAATTAAAGCCACAGAAAAAAACAAACATTTTTGGGAATATCAAATGACTTAAGTCATTTTACTCTATTCAAGTGTTGCCATTTACTATATTCATATTATTTTCGTACATACTTTATAAGACTACCAACACAACACACAAACACAACATATTTTTATATTAAATTATTATTCGTAATAACTATACTACCAGTAATAATAGAAATAAAAGTCATGTGATTGAAAATAAGTCTCTTACAAAGAACTTCCTACAATAATACATTATCTCAATTATAATACTATGTAACAATTCCATTTAATGTTATGGCAACACTAGATAAAACAAAATGTCACTGTTTTTATTTACTGACATTACGGCTCTGGGTTCTAGTCCTTCTGAGAATGTCACTGTATGACACAAAGGCCCTGGAGCCATGCCAGAAACATACATTTATAGAATTTTGCCAGAAATATATAACAAAGATACAATAATCTAAAAACTCTGAATTATGTAGGTACATTATGTTGAGAATGTATTAAGCTAACATCAAACAACCACAAGACCCATGACTTTTTCCAAGTGACATAAGACAACCTAAAAAGTTCAAATCTAAATATCTTTTTTTTTTTGACGCCGCCTCAGGACAAATTTTTTTGACAAACTTATTCAGGGACTGAGGCTTAACATTTTAAGACATTTTTGATATATAGACGCTACCATTCCTTCTCAACTAATTTTATGTATGAAAATCTGCCATTGATCTTTAATGCTTAACTTACGCACCATTTGAAAGGGCATTGATAAGTCATAGACGAATAAAAAAATATATTTATTGAAAAAAAATAAGTCTTGGATGAACAATATTATGTACTAGGTAGGGGTAAAACAGTATGAATGAATTAATAAATGGGTGAATGAATATTTTAATGTATGGAGGAATGAATTAATTAATGGGTGGATGAATGAATGAATTAACAAGAGTTAATGAATGAATGTATGGGTGGATAAATGATTTAACTAATAAGATTTAATGAATGAATCATTGAATTAATGAATAAACAAATGAATTAATGGGTGGATAAATGAATGAATTCATCATTACAGCCTTTCATAAGTCCACTGCTGAACATAGGCCTCCCCCAAGGAATGCCACAAAGCACGGTCCTGAATCACCTGCATGTCTTACCAGGTCGTCACTCCATCTCGTGGGGGCTCGCCCTACACTTCGCCTACCGGTACGAGGCTGCCACTCGAGAACCTTTCTTCCCCATCGGTTGTCGGTTCTTCGAGCTATATGGCCGGCCCACTGCCACTTCTGCTTACTAATCCATTGGGCTATGTCGGTTACTTTGGTTCTACTGCGGATATCCTCATTTCTAATTTTATCACGCAGAGAAACCCCGAGCATAAACCTCTCCATAGCTCGCTGAGCGACCTTGAGCTTCCTCATACGACCAGCAGTGAAGGACCACGTCTCAGATCCGTAAGTCATCACTGGCAACACGCACTGGTTGTACAATTTCGTTTTAAGGTTTTGAGGTATGTCTAACGAGAAGATGTGCCGTAGTTTCCCGAACGCAATGAATGAATTAACAAGAGTTAATGAATGAATGATTGAATGAATAAATGAATGAACGAAAGACGTACGTACTTGGGCGGGCGTCCGTAGGGCGCCGGGCGGGCGAAGTGGCGCTGCGGCGGCGGCGGGCCGGGGCGGCGCGTGCCGACGTCTCGCGCCGGCTTGAACTCGCGCGGCTCCTCCTTGTAGCCGTAGCCGTCGTCCTCGTAGAAGCGCTCCGGCGCGCGCTCGTAGTAGAACTCGTCGGGCGGCGGCGCCCCGCGCGGCGGACCGCGCACCTGCTGCACGACAATTCCACGTCATGTTGCACTTGTTAACGGTCAACTTTCTTTTTGGGTCGGCTCGATCGGGGAAGGACCACGCTCGTGTATAATAGCAGCTTAGCGCTTGTGTTTCGTATGCTGAGTGTAGAAAACTGGAAACCCTTGTTACTTTAATAGGCATTCCATGTTAGTCCTCAGGCGTGACAACGCATTTACATTTTGATTCTTAATTGAGTGATTCTTAAGTGAGTACATATGTAGATGTCTATGGGTCACCATCCACTTACCATCAGGTGGACCGTATGCCGGTATGTCACTCTTAGTCTATAAAAAAATAAAATAAAAATAAGAGCTAGCTTTGTTTAGGTGGTACTACACATTGACGGCCTAGCCACCACTTAACTACCACTTTCATATGTAGACTTACTTTTAAATACCAACTAACCACCCCTATACTATAGCCTATATATTTTAATAAAATTTAAAATACTAGTAATTAAAATGTCTTTTCAACAGTTTTTGTCAATAATAAAGTTATACATATTAAAAACAACATGTTATGACATAATATCGGAAATCGTCAATATTATGTATAGTAAATAAATTTAGCCTTCAAAGAAATATACACGTACAGTCACATTTGTACCACCAAATAGCAATGCTTGCTCTGCTGTGTCCCAGAATAAAGGGTATAGAAAGCCAGTATAATTACAGGCCTAAGACAGTCTTACTTAATCATCAGACAACACATCTTTCAGCATTTTTTGTTTTAAGTTGACTACAATGCAGCAGCTACTTACCATCAGGTGGATTGAAGTTCCTTTGTAACATCACTTTAAAAAAAGCTATTTTTCAACAAGCGACTTGTCGCGGGTGACCACAGCCTAGTTTTGAAGAGACTGCGCGTGCAACTGTCTTCTACAAACAACTTCTTTTCTTATTGAGCTTTGGGAAACTTTTTACATTAATTAATATTAAAAAAAAAATTTGGATACACCTTTCTTAAGAGAACGCACAACAAAATCGCACATTTCATTAATTCTATATTGAATTAACAAGGTGAAATTCATACATTCTCTTGTTGAGTATATGTATATTCCTTCAGTTGAACAACTGCTTTGTGGAAAGTAGAGCTTATGATAGTTTCCAAGAGTAATTTTCCACTAAACGGCTAGCCGCTTGTTTATACGTGGTAGAGCCATGCTGCAGCTATATTAGTAGTATAGTGTAGCACGAATGGGTCGGCTTGACCGGGGAAGGACCACGCTCTCACAGAATACCAGCGTAAAATAGCAGCTTTACGCTGCTGTTTCGTATGGTGAGTGTAGAGAACCGGAGACCCTTATAACTGGAAATGAGGCATTCCATCTTAGTCCTCACGGGTGACAACGCATCTGCATTTTCATTTGTAATAGAGGATAGATGTAGATATATATGGGCCGCAGCAACCACTTACCATCAGCTGGACTGTGTGCTCGTTTGTCACCCTTATCCTATAAAAAAAAAGCCGCGGCGCCTGAACGAATACTCAGGGCGGCTGACCACACGATTTTTCTATATATTGAAATAAGTCATATATTATACCTGCAGCCGCGACTCGAAAGTTATGGCGACTGCAAAAAAACACTTCTCGAGTTACCGGGCACAACTTAACATTTGCAATACTTAATATAACTTACGCTAACATAGTAAAATCAAAAAAAAAAACAAAATCTCATGATCGACAATCGCGCTTGCGACTACCAACACGGTAGTGAGGCCCTACATCTATCAAACTCTCAATTACAAATCGCGGCACGCAAGTCTAGCGCTGAACGAAACGTGGAGCGGATAGCTGCGCATTGGTACTGTCGTGCACTTATCACGTATCAGTACGGTGGACGGAATGCGACTGGAAAGCCAATCAGCGCGTGCGAACGATAGACACACTTACTACCCCATGATACCTTATTTTCAACTTATGCGCAATAACGGTTACTTCTAGACTTACGTGTCGCGACTTATATGCGAAATATACTGGAAAAAATTATAATTTAAAGGTTCAAAGCCCATCAAACCTAGAAATTTTAGCTGAGCATTGTGAAAACTGTAGGTAAAAATATTATACCAACCGGAGGCTCAGGCGCAGCATACGCATCATCATATGCGTACGAAGTCTCCATTGCCGAGCGAGCTCTGTCCAATATACTCAGCACCTTGGTTTTTGCAGGAGGCGCACGCATCGGTGGCGGTGGCTGCGGCATCCGTGGTGGAGGAGGAGGACGCACAACTGCAAATAAATTCACTTCACAGTGAATAATATTTGATAATTATATGCAGTTTCTTTTTTTTTTTTCATCAGACCACATTGTGACCGCCAAATAACTTGAACTAGTCTTTGCGTTATAGCATGTTGCAGGTGACAGCTTACAGTTTAGTGTGTCTAAACTAAACCGATTTAAAAAAAGACAATTAACAATACACAATGCAAAGCAAAAAGTATCAATAAGCTATTGATAAAAAAAAATTACTGGAACAAATAAAATACAATACATATATTATAAATATACACATAAATATTTCTTAACTTATTATAGGAGTAGGCCTTGGAATCCATATGTTTTAGATATTATAATCAACATATTATCATAATAATTCATTACTATGATTCATGACTTTAGATTTAGACAAATACAAAATCAGTCATAATTCATTGAGATTTACCTTCTGACTCATTACTATGTATGGGATCCCGGTAGGAGAAGGAGCGCTTGGTAACAGTGCATGCGCTGTACATTATGTTCTTGGGTCTCCCATCCGGCCCTTCAAGTAAAGGGCGACGCCCTGGCCCCGGTCCCGGCCCTGCATCTACAACAACCGTCATCTTTTGTTAGCTTTCAAGATTCTATTCGATAACTCTCGAATCCTGTCGGAAATTATCTGCTGAATGAGACTTAAGTCCATTCCTAGGCTATCATTGTCCGATAGAACGCTTATGCAATTAAAATTGATGATACCCTAAGATGTAGTATTAAAGACACGGGACCGAGGACAGGAAATCCAGACCCAAAATCCAGCAATTTGTTTATAAGCAAAAGTTGGTAGCTCCGGAGGTTCTACTAAATGTATACCGTTATACATACACATGCAATAACTGACCATATCTGCAGAAAAGGTTCAGAATAAGTAAAAAATTCTTAAACATTCTGTCCTTTTTATCTTCTAAATTCTAAAGTGTGGTAATGCATTATTTTAACTGATTTTACTGCGCACGCACACATTCGTAAGGGTCGATCGGTAGACAAAAACGTTGTTGCCCATATATCACATTCTATTTGGGATAATTTCAAATAAAAGTAGAAGCTTTATTTACTGATATTTTCAAAAACTGCAATAATGGTATATCATTATTTATATATTTTTGAACTTTTAAAAATTTGGCTACTGTTTGAAAAATAACCCTGTATATATATATATATATATATATATATATATATATATATATATATATATATATATATATATATATATATATATATATATATATATATATATATATATATATATTCAATAAGGTCAAAGACAGAAGACAGACACTGTCTGTAATATTAAAATAGCTTATAAATAAACTCAGAAGGCTATCTGTATGCTATTACAACATTAAGAACCATTTTAAAAATATTTTGGCCATCCTGGCTAATCTTGAGAATTGCTAACTGATTGTGATGAAACTTCATGAACAGATAGAGAGAGCTATAGCAGGAGTAATACTGTCTATATTTGGTGTGACAAATATAGAGGTAAATCCTCTCCTCTATATTGTGGTATTGACAAGCTGATAAAATAAATGTTTTCATGATTATCTTATAAATAGGAGATAAAGGAATTTAAAAAAGAAACCATTTTGGTTCTCAATTACATATAAAAATAAGTCCTTACACTTCAGCTTGTCTCTTAAAAAAATACTTTTTTAAAACTAGCTTGCATATACTCGCACATAACAAGAAATTACTTACAGATCTGCAGGTCCTTTGTTAAGTTCAAAGTTGCGGGTGAAAGCTAGTAAATAATATGAAAGTATCTTATAAAGATAATAATGTCTTTATATTTTTGAACATAAATTTCGAAAATCACATGACAATTAATTCTAAAGCTCACCTCTGTCACCCATGTCCCGCATTTGATTATGCCTAATCATATCGTTGGTGTCAGGTATAAGGTATTTCTTGACTTCTGCCAGAGCATAAGCAATTCTTGCATGAGCCTCTGCAGGTGGCGCCAATGCAGATATCTCCACATGTAATTCATCTGATAAATGTGCATATTTTGGATCCAAAGAGTTTCGGAGCTCTTCCTCTTTCTGTCTGTAATATAAGTTTGATTTAATAGATAGTCTGGCTCATTATACTAAAAAGTACCACATCAAAAAATGTGAATAATGTTTAATTTACAGCTTTATGAGGTAAGGCTGCTTGTTATGTAACTAATACATCTAGGGCAGGGATCGGCAAGAGTCGGAAGAGTCAAAAATTACCATTTACAAAATTTCAGTTTTTATAGAGCCACAATTTTTTTCTTGCTTGATTAAAAAAAGTTGTCTATTTATTCATAAGAATAAATATATTTATTCATATATAAATTGTGTTTTTCACAATAAATTAGAATCTAATAATTATTATATTTAATCTATATATATATATATATATATATATATATATATATATATATATATATATATATATACAATACTAGTCAGGTCATAAGTATTGTCACACAGTAAAAACTTTTCTTTTAGAAAATCAATAAACTTTTTTGTGGCCATACAAAAAAGTTTATTAAAAAGTATAAAACTATATACTTTTAAGAATTTTACTCATTTTGAAATATGGAGTGGACGCTTAAAGAAGACCGTGTTGCAGTTATTGCGTTGCATCGTTGCGGTTACGCGCCTATTCAAATTTTTGACATACTGAAAAATTTGAATATAACCAAAAGATTCGTTTATCGTACCATCAAACGATACAATGAAGACTCTAGTGTAGATGACAGGTCAAGAAGTGGTCGCCCTCGGTCTGTTAGGACTCCAGCAGTGATAAAAGCTGTGAAGGCGCGAATTCAAAGAAATCCCAAACGTAAGCAGAAACTGTTGGCCCTTCAGATGGGGTTAAGCAGAAACACGGTGAAAATGGTGTTAAATGAAGACTTAGGGCTTCGGACATATTGAAGAAAAACAGGACATCGTTTGATTGCTCGTCTAATGGACCTGAGACTGACGAGATGCCGCGCTTTGTTGAAGCGGTACGTGGGAAGAAAATATCGGGAAATTCTTTTTTCGGATGAAAAAATTTTTACCGTAGAAGAGAGCTACAACAAACAAAATGATAAGGTGTACGCACACAGTAGTGAAGAAGCGAGCAACCATATTCCGCGTGTCCAACGAGGTCATTTTCCATCCTCGCTCATGGTATGTTTGGGAGTTTCTTATTGGGGCTTAACAGAGGTACATTTTTGTGAAAGGTGTAAAAACGAATGCAGTTGTGTATCAAAATACAGTCCTGACGAACCTTGTGGAATCTGTTTCTCATACCATGTTCAATAACAGGCACTGGGTATTCCAACAAGATTCGGCGCCAGCTCATAGAGCGAAGAGCACACAAGACTGGCTGGCGGCGCGTGAAATCGACTTCATCCGGCACGAAGACTGGCCCTCCTCCAGTCCAGATTTGAATCTGTTAGATTACAAGATATGGCAACACTTGGAGGAAAAGGCGTGCTCAAAGCCTCATCCCATTTTGGAGTCACTCAAGACATCCTTGATTAAGGCAGCCGCCGATATTGACATGGACCTCTTTCGTGCTGCGATAGACGACTGGCCGCGCAGATTGAAGGCCTGTATTCAAAATCACGGAGGTCATTTTGAATAAACTTTAGTGTCATAAGAATCTATGTTTTGTTAAGTTCATTTTGGTATATAAATGGTTACATAATGAATAAACTTGTTTCAATTATTTTATATTAAACATGTGACAGAATTTATGACCTGACTAGGTATATATATGGTATTATTAGATAATCACTTATTATTTCAGTAAAAAATTAAAACAAACATTTATTTACATTGTAAGTATGGATTGATTTATATTTTTTTTTTATAAAATAAATAATATTTGCGTATGAAACTAAAGAGCCGCAGCTTCACATCCAAAGAGCCGCATGTGGCTCGCGAGCCGCTGGTTGCCGACCCCTGATCTAGGGCATTCTTACAGAATTTTAATGACGTGGTAGAGCCATGCTGCAGCTATATTAGTTTTTTTTTATAGAGAGCATGCGGCTCACCTGATGGTAAGTGACTACTGCCGCCTATGAACAACGGTAACACCAAGAGGATTGCAAGTGTGTTGCCGGCCTTTTAAAAAGGAGTAAGCTGAGCAACACTCTCACAGAATACCAGCATACAATAGCAGCACAATGCTGCTGTGTTTTGTATAGTGAGTGTAGAGAACCGGAGACCATTTTTACTGGAAATGAGGCATTCCATCTTAGTCCTCAGGGGTGACAACGCATCTGCATTTTGATTCTTAATTGAGGATAAATGTAGATGTCTATAGGCCACAGCATCTACTTACCATCAGATGGACTGTGTTCTCGTTTGTCACCCTAATTCTATAAAAAAAAATGCTCACACAAGCTCTAAGTAAGTTGCTAAGGATGATATGGACACAATTTACCTTTTTCTTTAAGCATTATCTTTCTGAGCAGTTTCCACAACATTTTAGTATAACTTCTATGTTATACACCAGACTGATTTTATGACTAGAAAATAACAAAAAAGCTTGCAGTACTTTTGATGTTATGTGGTTGCAACCTATTTGCAACCTGTGACAATTTGACATAATGGGAGGGATAAGAGTACATAAAACATTAATTCTGCAAAAATATAAAATAACACTGAAAATATATACCTATCTCTGACTGATCCTCTTCCAAGCACTGCCATTTTACACATGGTCTCTTCTTGTAACTGTTTCATTGTGTTACCTTTAGGGCCAAGCAGCTTGCCGACAAAGTTGAACTATCATGAAAATAAATAAAGACACATAAATAAACATAAACACTCACGCCTGTCACCCAGAGGGGTAGGCAGAGATAGACTTTCATTGGGCACGAGCCTGACACACCTCTCTCGCTTCCTCCACATCCATATACCTATGCATACACGCTCGTCAGTTAAAGGTACTCTTGATTTGGCCCATTTTCAATATATCGCCAATTTGATCAATAAACTTTCGCCTAAGGCGTCCCTTCCCGACTCTGCCGTTCAGCTCTGCAACATAAATTTGCTTTGTCACTCTTTCTTCATTTATTCTTTCTACATGACCAAACCATTGAAGCATTCCTTTCTTAATCCTGGTCACAACATCATCTTGCAAACCACACTCTTCTCTTATCACACAATTTCTCACTCTGTCATTTAGATTCATCCACCACACATAAATATTGCTTAAATAATACACAAATAAGAGGTTACATTAACATTTTAGCTTTTTAGTGCAAGTCTGCCATGAATTACAGGATGAATGTAGATTCTAAAGTTCATAAGAGCTTTAAGCAAGCTTACATTGAATAAAATGTTTTGACTTCGATTTTGAGATGCCATAAATTACACAACATTTAAAAAAACATGTGTGCAGTTCACAAACTATAGAAATGAAACCTTCAAAAAACTAAACTTTGAGAGAAAGAGATGAATGCGGAGTATCGGGAGTAGGAAAATTGTGTGGTTTATTTATTATAAACATTGTTACCATATTTATAAATTATTTTAGTCTACATTACATATTATACAGACTTTTTTTTATACGATAGGGTGACAAACGAGCCCACAGTCCACCTGATGGTAAGTAGTGGCTGTGGCCCATAGACATCTACATCTATCCTCGTTTGTGAATCAAAATGTCACCCGTGAGGACTAAGATGGAATGCCTCATTTCCAGTAAAAACGGTCTCCGGTTCTCTACACTCACCATACGAAACACAGCAGTGTTAAGCTGCTATTTTACATTGGTATTCTGTGTGAGTGTGGTCCTTCCCTGGTCGATCCAACCCATTCGTGCCACAAGTAAGTACTTAAATATTTTCTAATCACCCAATTTCGTTCTTAATCATTACTGCTCATAGATCACATACATAATAACAGAAACACTGTATACTGTGTTCTATCTCATTCTACCACAGGCTAAATTCTATAGATGTACATGTTTATCTCTTTTTAGAAGTTTTTAACTTCAATAATAATAACATCTTATTTTAATTCTTTATTACATAATTTTCACTTATTACAAGCACTTTTTTCTTTATAATTTACATATAAATATTGATTTGCAAATTTATAGCTTGTAGTGGAGGAACACACTTTAATGGCCTGGTATTCATAGATTAGATGCTCTATTTTAGCATGATTATTTCGAAATCAATAGCCCTTAAACTGTTTTTAAGCCTTATCAAAGGTTTCTCCCAAAATTAAGAGGTTGTACTACAACTTTTACTCATACCGATTTCTCCAAATTTAACGGTGCAAATAAGCCTTTTCATGAATACAATGACTGAAATAGTAAAATAACAAGACTTTTCTCAATACTTAACTAGACAGATGAAGCTCAGAACCAATATCATCACATAGATAAAGCTAGTCCCCATCAATAGTATGTGGAATTTGTATTTACATTTTTCAATGGATATAATGCCACTGTTTACTCACCAGTGTCCCAATTGTTGATAAGCAGGATGTACCATATTTTATTTTATTTTCAGGAAAAAGGAATACTAGAATGTTATAAGCATTACCAATTCTTTCATTTACCACTTTAAGTAAGTTTCAAATGCTCAATTTAGGAGTGGTCCACCTTGGTAGACTAAAAGTGGATCCACTACTTTGAATCTTACAGTCACACCCTTAACCATTAGGCTACTGTCCCTTTAAATGTAATATGCAGGTGAGGTTCACATTAGAAGTAGAAGTTATTACACTTACATCCCAGTGAATAAAGGTACCAAGTACTTATATTTTTAAGTACAAATACATATCTATACAAATAAATAAAATTGAAGTGTCTGTTAATAATGTCAAAATTACAACTTTTTACTAATTGCATATGAAAGTATATACGGTACTTATAACAAAAACACAATTTTTAAAATTTTTGTGTCTGTCTGTTTCTTCCGGCTAAACTCCGAAACGGCTGAACCGATTTTGACAAGACTTTCACTGGCAGATAGCTGATGTCACAAGGATTAACTTAGGCTACTTTAATTTTAGAAAAAGAATGAGGGTTCCGTGCAAAAACATAAAAACCCTAACACGCGAGCGAAGTCGCGGGGAACAGCTAGTAAAACAAACATAAAAACATATAGGGAAATGTTAAACAAAATTCAAACATTTTCGATGTTTATAAAAGGAAATGGTATATAATGCAAATTCAAGGGTCGACGAATTTTGTTACATCGTTCACAAATTCTAAAGAAAAACAAGGGGTCTTACCTTTGGATGTTCTTTAACAGGTACCAATACTTTGACAATGACCTTAACTGGTTTCTCTTTATAGACATCGACGTATTTAGAGTCTTTAGGCGGAATTCTCCCATTTGCCTGCACTTTAGCCACCTCTGTGAAAACAAAAAATAGTAAGGTAGGCAAATTATAACTAATAAAATCGTTAAAAATAACAAAGGAAATTAAAAATATGGGGATAAAAATTAAGCCACATGTTAAACCTTGATCAAGAAGTCTTGTCGATAACGGAAACTTTCCGTTACTTAGCTTAATTTTTTCACTTAACAATTCTCGCATATATTCCCCGGCTTTTTCATTAACATGAGGCCCTTCCTCGCCATCTTGATCCCGTTCATTTTCTGGCTTATCTTGATTAGAATTTCGTTTAAAATCGCCACTATTAAAACCATTTTTATCGTATTTATCTGCCATGTTTTTAGAAATATTTGTTAAAACTAAATCTACGTTCGTAATATCATGCGCCGTAAAATTTATTTTGACAATAGTTAACCACACAACCGTACATCTACCGACGCTACCCTAAACCACAGACACAAACTATATAGAAACCTAAGTCTATGATAGAAAAAACACTACGCGTTACCACAGAGTACATTATGCCCTAAACCTACCATAGATAAATAGATATGTTATAGTGTATCCATATAGTTTGTGATTGTAGGATATGAAGCAAGCTTAAAAAAAACCGTACGAGTTAAAATGTGGCGTGAGACAAGGTGGAATAAGTTCACCTCAACTTTTTAACTTGTATATAAATGAGCTGCTCGAGAGACTCGGCAGCACTAAGGTCGGTTGCCATGTGGATGGAAAGTGTGTCAACAACCTAAGTTACGCCGACGACATGGTGTTATTGAGTCCCTCGGTCAGTGCGCTCTGAAAGCTTCTGGGAACCTGTGAGGCTTATGCAAATGAACACGGTCTAATTTATAATATAAAGAAAAGTGAGTTTGTGTTGTTTAAAGCTACAAGGGTTCTCACGTACATACCACTTATCAGACTCTACAACACTGCTTTATCGAGGGTATCACAATTCATATACTTGGGACACTACGTGACCGACGATTTGCGTGATGAAATGGACATGGAGAGGGAGCGTAGGGCTTTAGCAACCCGGAGTAATATGTTAGCCCGTAGGTTTGCACGATGCAGTAATGCCGTTAAAATAACTCTTTTTAAGGCATACTGCCAGTCTTTCTATTCGTGCTCCTTTTGGGTCAACTACACACAAAGGGCGTATAAAGCATTAAAGGTGCAATATAATAATTTAATTAGAGTTCTTTTGGGGCTGCCCCGCTACTGCAGCGCTTCAGGCATGTTCTGTGAGGCCCGCACTGACGGGTTTGACGCGATAATGCGCAAAAAAGCCAAACAAGGAATAGCTCCAACAGTATCCTGGGTGTTATAGCACAAAACATGACTGTCCTATAATAAGGCAAATTATTAAGGTCCTGCATAGCTGACTTACCTGTGCGTGTGTGTGTGTATGCATGTATGGCTGCGAGCGCGCACGCGCGCGCGTGTGGATGTGTGTGTGTGTGTGTGTGTGTGTGATTGCGTGCGTATGTGCATACGTGAATGCGTGCGTGCGTGCGTGTCATTTTACTTTCTCCGTCCACCTAGCTGTATTATAATTATTATTGTTACGGCCTACGGCTGCTCCCTTAAAGGATCAGATCCTCAGGGGCCCATGAGCTGAAGACTTCCCGAGCAGACGTAGGTCGAGCCTCAATGTGGCCACGTGGAAATTCCTAATTACATTAAAATATATGGGGGAGCGTTATACTACGGCCAGTCGACCGGAAGGAATTTGGATGAAGCTTACTTACCTATCCAAGGCGACTGGTCCCTCCGGAGTCGGTCAGGTCGCATGTGGTTGTGTAGTGCAAGGGAAAGAATGGTGATGTGGTGTGTATCTGGGTGTGACTGATGGTGATTGAACCTAGACCTTGGCCGTCGGCAGCAGCCCGAGCGTCGACACCGCTCCAACTTGAGGGGGCCTTTCGAGGTTGTCCACAGTCACTTTCTTCTTTCGTCACGTTGACAGTCAATTAACTCTATCGTACGATTTACTAACTTACAGAAGCCACTAACTATCGCGGGTTATAAAGTTAACACACAAAACGCACACGGAGTTTACAGTTTATTAAAGGTCACTACCGTTTCGCGTCGCAACAGTTAGTTCTAGAATACAGAGGCAGCACTAGCTAATATTGTCGAATGCACTTATACAGATTCTGAGTCGGACCCAATAAGTCCCGGGAAGCTCTCCAGCAGGAATGCGCGTCACAAAATCCTAAAACGTATATTTACGGGCCGCACCTAATTATTCCGAGTTCCCTAACAGAATTGACCGCGTGCTCACGTCAGCACCGCTTACAGACGATTGACGCGCTTGCGACCCGCGCGCCACTTGCCACGCTCGGCCTAATTTCAAACCGGTATCGCCGAGCGGCGCGCCCTCTAACGTCAATCCCGAAATCAGCGTTCGGGCGTAAACAATTATTTTGTGATTTTTCTAATATCTGTGATATGGATCTCATTTGTTATCCGAAATAAAGATTTATTATTATTATTAAATCCTACCGCAAACGTCTAAGACAAACATAGATAATAGACATGAGACCGATCAACATAGTGTGCAAGGGAGAAGAAAATTCCTTATGGCAAAAATGCATGATAGAAAAGGATACCAAATCTCAAACTCTGTAATCGATTTTCAATGACAGATGGGCACAAGTCGCCACACGCAAGAAATAGCTTCTAGATATTTTGTATTTTTTTTTAGAGTGTAATAGTGATTTTTTTTATATGTATCTTTTTTCCAAAATGTTTACTTATTCTGTAAGAGAACACCACGTTAATAATAAAATAATCCTGATAACTGCACATTTCACAGGTAAATTCTCAAGACGTCGTCAATGTAATGAAGCGTTTATTTTTGGTTAAAATTTATGTAATATACTGTTTAAAATATAGAACGTGTTCAAATATTTTGTTAATTTTGATATTTTGCAAAGAAAAAAATCAGGTTGATAATAATTTGAATGAATTTGGTAAATACATTTTTATACAAAATATTTTATATGTACACTAGGGATTGACTCAACTATGTCAAAATTAATGTCGATATTTATCTTGAATATTTATAGATTTGCCCATACAACAAGAAAATAAATCTCGTGCAATTTGTAGACCATTAATGTGTCAAAAACAAACTATGTCATCTTTTCTGCAAAAAAACAAAAAAAAATCCAGACTTCTCGCTCCTTATGGTGCACAGATAAATAGAAGAATAGAAGCTAAGTTACCTAGGACTTATAGTACATAACAGGTTGTCGTGGAAGTCACACATTCAGAAAATAAATTCTAAATTGTCTTTTTTTTTAGGAAGTGTGCGAAATATAGTAGGATGTCTGCTACAGAATGTCCAATGTATTTTATATAATAAACTTATCAAACCACATATTGACTATTTAATCGAGGTATGGGGATCAGCACACAAAACTGATTTACGTGGACTACACACTACCCAAAACAAATGAATCAAGGCACTATTTCGTTATAAATATTTAACACCATCTGCTATTATATAAAGAAACAAAATTATTTAATATATCACAAATATATCAATATAATACTTGCATATTAATACGTAAAATACTTAACAACGACATTCATTCGCACATATTGTTTAAAAAAAATGTTTACAAGCGTAACCTAAGATGAGCCCATGATATATACATACAAAAAGTTAGAACAGAGTAGTGTAAGAAAAATATAATGTTTGACGGTGCAAAATTGTGTAACGCTATACTCTCTTTAAAAATTATTAAAACGACATATTTTGGAAAATTAACCAGAAAAAAAATACAAATTGAAATTAAATGTAAATTAGTTTGTTCGCACCCTTATTTCTTTTTTCTGTTGTATTTTAGATGTTCGGTTATTACAATTTGGGTGCGATGCTCAAACCTAAGTTTACTGTTCTTTTAAATTGCTTACGTTTTACCCACATTTATAGTTAATATTCTGTATGCTCGTAATCTACTATCGTATCTACTAAGACTAATTGACTTCAATTCCGGTATACGACAACGTGTTCAAAGAATATTTAGGTTAGACATACACAGGAATAACACTTCCTTTTTCAACCCTGTTGTCAAAATGTGCCGTGATTACGACGCGATTAAGCGTAGTAACGTACATCTAGATATATTTGATAGTAGCCTTGTTATATTTAAAAGAAATTTGCGTGTTGCTCTTAATTTTTAATGTATTTTTTATCTTGTTTATTTTTGTTATTCTACTGAAGTTATATTATTATGCTGTGTACACTTTTATTGGATTGTGGCTTAGATCAACACCATCATACTTTTAATTTTAGAACTGTATATAACTGTCTGTTTGTGTACCTTATTCAATAAAAAATCGATTCCTTTATTCTTGTTTGTAATTTGTTTAATTTCTTGTGAGCGATTTGTAATCTTTTGAGAAATAAATAATATCTTAAACGTAAATAAATCCTCGGTTTGCGTTATAAAATGTAATTTTATTGTGTCGTTTCTCAAACAGATTCAGATGTTAATTGGACGGGTTTGTTGGAATCCAAAAAAAAACTCAACAACTAGCAGCATACATTTACTTGAGCAGTATAAAGTTTATTCTACTTTTTCGTTTATAGTATAAACGAAAAGGTAGAAAAAAATCAATTTTATTCATTCATTTTGCCATTTGTACATTATTTGTACCAGTAAGTAAAATATTGTTATAACAAGAACTCAAAAATTTAACTTTCAAATCTTTAAATAAGCATAGAGACAGATTTTTATACATTATAAAATTAAAGAAAGATAAAAAAATGCACCAATTGTCTGTGGATACAGATGAACTCATTTGTATCCACAGACAATTGGTGCATTTTACTCCGTTAAGATCATTATGTTTTTCAAATTCATGCGGCTAAAATGATAATAAGTTTATTGTTACTTTATACCAATTTAAAATTTTTAAAAAAAAAGCTTTTAATTTTACAAGGTATCCTTGTTATTCTTATTATCATATTTTGGTTATGTTTATTTCCTTTCGTATTTTTTTTTTCATTTTGTGGTAACATACTTATTTTTAGCTTTATAAACCGTCAGCATTAGATTATAATATAAATCGATCGTATTCCAATTCTATGTAAATAATTTGCAATAACATGTCATAAGTATTCCCTTTATTCATATTCCAATTGTTTTATGTTGATTAATAACTTATTTTATTATTTGATTTTTATACTGTAGTAAACTTTAGTTGTATTTGTAAATTTTAGTAGATTAGTTTGTGTTTGTGATTTGCATTACCTACCTACCTTTGTATGTAAAAGTGTTAAAATGTTATTAATTACCATAGATAAATGTTATTGTAGT